CATTTAAAAGCAAAAAACTATTTTTTATACACAACAAAAAAATGCAAATTGAAATTAAAGGAGGCAGAAAGAAGAAAAAAAATCTCATATCTGCCCCTTTTTTCCATAATTAAGTTCAAGCAATAATATTCAAGAAACAAAACAAAATAAAAGCTTCAATTCCTTCTCAAACAAATTACCAATCAATTAAAAACGGGGTGAATCCTAAGAACATGCTACTTGTACTCAGAAGTGTACTTGATTTTTAAACCAACTTGYCAGTATTTTTACTCRCACACACACAAACACGCATRCAGAAACCCTTGACCGGTTTCACAGCTTTTCTCAGAAAGCCGCCTGAGGTCAAAATATTAGTCATTTGCTTCTAACGGCAGCTTGTCTGAGGACTCAKTTGAACCGCACAGTTCTCTAAAATGTACAATCCACATCCACATTAGTATTCCTCAACCTATTGGGACTGGTTGTTTTCCATTCTCCTGTAACAACACACCCAGCGCACCAGATGTGTGCTTATWCAAGTTGAGAATAGATGAACAATAAGAAGGTCCACTGAACATAAAATAATAATTTATGCATGATTTTTGGAAATGGAAGTTTCTCGTTTTGAGCTCAATAAAAAGAAAGTTATTAAAAGCCTAGCGTTCCTTAAAAGAATGTGCTGTGGTCCGTGTGATGAAAGAGGAGACGACAGTTAAACTCAAAAGATTTTATTACACTAGCTGTGCCAATATGCCAGATGCCATTACAGAACATGGTATTTTCTTTAAAATAGTTTCTTCCTCCGTATACTGTCACAGCAGAGCCGTCTAGTGACAAAAGGTAATAGATCCCAGATACAAGCTCTTGAAATGCAGTTATTTGCAGGGCAGCTGGGTTCTCACTGAGAGGAACGGTAAGAGGTTTAGTTATCTGAGGGAGACTCAGAGTAGAGCTGCTGCTCCTCCTAAGTGAGAAGAACCAGTTGAGGTGGTTYACACATCTGATAAGGATRCCTCACTAGGGTGGTCAGGGTATGTCCAACTGGGAGGAGATCCCAGGGAATACCTAGAGGACATGCTAAAGACTGTGCCTCTGGGCTGGTTTGGGAATGCCTTGGTATTTTCTCATAGGGACTGAAAGATGCAGATGTTGAAAGAAACATCTCGCCCCCCTGCTCAAGCAGGCGGCAAACAATGAATGGATAAATAACTGTTTCTTTGTTTCTCCAGGTGTTGTCAAAAGCCACCTTACACCACCAGGCAAGCAAAAGAAGAGGAAACAATCGCTGAAGAAACATCTCTGGTCAGAAAGTGCAACGTTAAGATTTGAAATGAAAGACTGTGTGCACACTTCTGAAAAATGGGAGGAGAATAACTTAAAGAAATCACTTTGTGTTACATGAAATTATTTGTCTACAACACAACAGTGGGTCCGTGCAAAGCAATTGTAGCAGCAAAATACTGGAAGATCTGCCAATGATGCTTTTTATCTATGCAATTGTTAACTAGCACTGGTCACTTTCTGCTGTTTAAAAAGATTGGTGCATTTTGTGTAGACACTAAACAAAGTTTAACAAAGTAGAAAATATGTTTTTTTACTGATAACATTTAAACTTGAGATTTTTCTATCAGATGTAAACCATGTGAAATTTTATACTTCAGTTTCTAATAAATATTGTTAGAATCTATTTGTGAATTAAAATAATGTAAAAGTGAAACTGTTCTTAATGAAAGAAAATAAAGCTGACTTGGTAAACTTTAAGTCTGAGTTTTTTTCATCTGTTCTAAAGCTTTTTTAAAWTTTTTTAACAGCCTTAAGTTATTTTCTAACTGTTGCTGACGTGTTTTGTACGTGTCAAAACAAAACAAGGTGTTCAAAACATGCACACTAAAAATGTTTTTAAAGAAATTTCAAAAATCAGTCAGTTTTGAGACTTTTGGATTGAAGAAATAACATCTAATAATGACAGGAAAAAGCTGGACATCAAAGAGGACTGTCCTGTTGGACAACAGGAACTGAGGTTTTGGATCTTGTGAGGCGRAGACATTTTATTCTGTTGTGACAAGAACAACATATAAATACAGTTAGTAAGGTACATGTTAAGACCTGTGTAGCATATCTTACAATATAAATCCCTTAAATCCTGAGTATGATAAGACTACAGGACAAAATAAGTTTTAGTAAATTGATATAAATTTTTTGTAATCAAAAGGTGATAACTTTGTAGGAAAAAAAGTTCCGTTACACACCGTTTCCTTTCATGCATTTGTTGAATGCTTTCTGGAAGAGGTTGTTGAAAACTTTCAGGAAGRAAAAAAGCAGCAAATGCAGCCAGAACAGCCAGAGTTCCCAGTGTGATGTAAGGCAGGGCCTTAAAGTATCCACCTGAAAACGTGGTGAGATGCAAATCAGAAAAATCCTTGCATATCTGCTGACTCTTCCATTTTTTTAACTTAATGAAAATAGATTTTTAATATAAACGAAAGCCAAGTTACTCACTGAGACTCAACAGAAAGGGCGTGATGCAACTTCCTGTCCTGGAAACGGTGGTCGTGGTCCCTGTTGCTGTGTTCCTGAGTGCTGTTGGGTAAAGCTCTGTGGTGTAGGTGAACATAAGGGAYGACCCGGTAGTGAAGGCGTACTTACCCAGCATCTCCAGTGTAAGAGACACACTGGATAGATCTGAAGAAGAAATGAAATAATTAAGACTTCAGATCAGGGATCCTGCAAAATGCCAAATCAAATACAAAGTTAGACTTTGGATAGAAAATATTGAAATACTAATAGTGTTTCTGACTTGGCTTTAGAAATTGTGAATGGTAAGATTTACAGTTTTGTATGTGCTTACATTCTGGCATCAGTGGAATAAAGAACAGCGGTACGGCTCCGAGGATCAGCATACCAATGACGGACAGTCGACGTTGAAAATACCTCAGAGCTATCCAGCTGGAAATATATGCTGGGATTTCTACTACAGCTGAGATGAAACAGCTGATGTAGGGGTCAGAATGGAGCTGAGCTGCATTAAAGGACAGGCTGAAATAACCAGTAGTCATAGTGAACCTAGAGGAGATCAAGTATATGAAGAGTATATGTTAGAGTTAGGTTTATTTTTTAAAGAAAAGTAAAAAACTAAGAAGTACTGAAAGATCAGTTTTTTATAGCTGGTGTTTGAAACTAATTTTGGTTAGATTTCAAAACTTTATGCATTCATTCAAAAACATTTGTGTTCAAAAAGTGACAAAGGAATAAAATCATTTAGGACTCTTCAGCCAATATGTTTTTTAACACTTGTTATAACCCACTGTTTCATCATCATCATGCTTGATTTAAGGCAGTTTACTCACATGACCAAACAGAGCAGGAGTGTGGTGGTTCTGATGCTGCTGTGCTTCAAAAGGTCAAAAACACTGTGGTTGTTTCTACTTGGCTTTGTTTCCTGTAAAACAGAATGAATCACTCAGTATGTGAGTTTCCTGCACCACTGAATCAAACCTCACAGAAACTGCTGTATTTGAGGACTTTAAAGGATTATTAACTTACATCGTAATGTCCAAAGATGTCCCCTGGAGCCTGAACTTTGTTCCACTGAGCAGCTTTTCTTATTACAGCTTCAGCTTCCTCAACTCTACCTTGAGAAATCAGCCATCGAGGAGATTCAGGAAGAAGGCTGGTTCAAAATCAGGCAAATGCAGGAAACTTTAGGTTAGGGGGATAGGTGGGGCTGTTAAAAAATTCCTAACTGGCATCAGCCACTACACCGCCACTGTTTTGTTTTTAATATAGGTGAGACCGGGGACAGTTGCTACACTTTTTGCATTTGACTCTGTTACTCAGAGAAGGTTTGAATTTGACCAACCAAATTTTAATACAATAAACTTACATCTGTCTAATAGTCAAAACCATTTATAGATGATTAAAGCATGTACTTTCTTCACAATTTGCATTTGAAAATGAAGTCAGATGTTGCAACTGACCCCACTGTTTGGGTGTGGTTACAACATATTATTAATACAATATGTTTCACTGTAAATAAAAGTTTTATTATTTTTATATTTATATTATTGCTAAATTAATAAAAACTATAAGTTATAATGATATTATTTATTTGTTCTTTTTGATCAAATGATGAATATAGATTTGCCTTATAAACAGATGTCAAAGACTCTGATATAAAATGCAGTTGGCTTTTTGAGATAAGGATAATCGAACAATTTGTGAGGCAATTAACTTTTGTTTTGCCTATTGTCAGTGTACGCCTACATCATGCAAAATTTACAGTACATTGAAAGAAACTGGGATTTTAAAACCATTGTTGAAAAAAAAAAACAACTGCAGAAAATACATCTTAAACACTTTTATGTTTTAATCTATAAAATTGTCACGAATACCCAATACCCTTTTAAGTGTAAACTCAATTTAAACATCTTAATATCATCTGTATGTGCTCTGTTTTTATATGGATTAAATGGGGGTAGTTGCAGCAACTGTTGCAACTGTCCCCCTTCCAGTCAGCCATGATAAAACCTCGTGTTAGCTAAATAAGCTGATCTGGATACATGTTAACTATATCAGTTAAAAGTCAACATATCACTTGTTTAAACCATATAAGTTTAAGCTGGATCACAAAAAGAGTGACAACAATATAACAAAAATAAAGCTGAGCAAAAAAAATAAATACTTTGGTACCTCAAAAACAGTTTTTTCCCAAATAAATCCTGGAGCAGTTTTTGAATCTGTTTACTTTTTCTTTGCAAGGTGGGGCATCTAACTGTGCATGTACAGTGTGAGTGTCATCACTCTAGTATGTTCCTGTTTGGAGAAAAATGACGTGTTGCAACCGTCCCTTGTTGCTTCTGTCCCCGGTCTCCCCTAGCAGCATGGATAAAGGCACTGCAATAATATAAATTTGCATCTTCCCCAAAAACAAATCCGGAAAGACCAAAAATGACTCCTGCTCTAAACCAGCAACACGACCTTCAGAGTGACAGGCAAAACTGCCAGGGGCATCAGAAAGGCCAAAGCAGCCTAYGGGACGAGAACAGGAAGCCACTGTGACAGTTCAGACCCCCGACACGCATGGCAAGTGATACGACACATCAGAAACCAAAACAGCAACATCACCTCATCCACCTGCAGCAGTTCTGCACTGCTTGAAGAGCCCCGCCATTTCTTTAGCTGCATTATTTTAAACCTCTATTCTAAAATCTTATACTAATAAACTTTAATAAACTCTGGCTGCACCATTTTGGTATAATATATTGTCTCCTCTATAAACCACCACTGTTAACATTACAATTACAGCTCAGACTGGTGTTAGCGTGTTCTCACACAAAGCAAACCAGTGATGCAAATCTCCTGAATGTTGACARTGTTGTTGTCAGAACTTTTCTTTTGAGGAAGTTGGGTCTCCCTCATATGTTCAGACTGTTGTGTCCACACAYGCAGGCTATTGTGTCAACAGCTACAGGGCAAGCTGTTGTGTACACTTAAACAAATCGTGAATCAGTGACACCACTTTTGATCAAAATAACTTGGCACGTGCACTAATCAGAACCAAATAAACTGGATTATTATTAAAAAATATGTTCACAATGATAAATGATGTAATTAAGTTGGGTACAATATTTTTGGCTGATTTAATTTGTTCCAATTTTTTTCATAAATATTTGAGTTGTGAAAATTAAACTCTTGCTGTGGTGTTGAGTTTAATAAAATCACAAAGAGTTCCACTTGTGCAGTTTGTGAAACAAATAAATAAATTTAGTTTTGTTAGCTTTTAGTTAGGTAATTAGTTAACTGGAAAGAGGGGGCCCGCTGCTACTCGGCCCCCCGGTGGGGTGGCCGCCGGCGTGCTGGGGGTTCCGGGGTCTGGGGCTGGGCGCTGGGGTGTGTGCCGGCCTGGCCTGGTGACTGCCTGCTGGGGCTCGGAGCCTCTGGCCTGTCGGGATTTGGCCTGGAGGGGGTGCGCCCTGGGGGCCCGGACCTCTGTGCCCTTTCCTGATCTGCTTTGGTATGGCGGTTGCAGGTGGGGCCCATGAGTTTGTCGCTGCTGGCCCCGGGGGCTGTGCATGTGGTCGCTGGGGGGACTCTCCCAGTTCTCCCCTATGGTCTGATCTGGGGGGTGGGTGGGCAGATCTTCCCGTGCGGGTGCCCCTTGGGGCTCTGCGCTCGGGATTCCTCTCAGGCCCTTGGGCTCTGGTCTTCCCTATGTCTGCCTCGTGTCTTGGGGGTTGGGTCTCGGTCCTCCACAGTCACTATTAAATATTCCATTGGTTCACAAYTGCTCACAAACAGGTGCTCTGATCCGGGGGTTCTGACTGGTCACTGAGTGTGTATATATGTCTATGTGTATATACGGACAATATTTATGAATGTAGGCATGTATGTATGTATATCTTTATATATGTATGGGTATGTGTGTATTTTTAAATATGCCCTCTATGTATTTATCCATTTATTTTTCAGGTGAGCGGACAGATGTTGGGTGTGTGGTCCTGTGTTTTGTTGGTGTATATTTAATATAATCCWAATCGCTATTTCAGTCTTTCTATCTTTCTAATTAYTTCTCTCTCTGTTTTTCTCTCTCTCTCTTTTCTCTTCACAAAAAATAAATAATAAAAAAATAAAATAAAAAAATAAATAAAAAAACATAATGGTGTGGAGGGGATGGCTATAAGGGGAGAAGGGAGGCCATCCTAAAAAAAAGTTAGCTGGAAAGAGCTTTTTGTTCTGCTGTCCATGTTTTCTGTGTGTTTCAAAAGTCAAGAAATAGGTAAATGTTTTACATGTCACGCACCACCAGAGGGGGATGTAGGCCAGACAAGGGAGGGACAGAGCCATGAGAAGAGATTTCCAGTCCTTTAAAAAGTAAGCAAAGAGCGGCAGCAACATGTAGCCAATAGCAAAGCTGAAACACGTTCCAAAAGATGAATAAAGGACACGCACATTGCCAGTCAAGACCTCAGCACCTGCCAACAAAAAATAAATAAATCAGGGAATCAAGTTAATGACTACTGTGTTGTATTACTTAGAAAATGACTAATTAAAAAGGTATATACCAAGCACTAATGCGGCCACAAAATTGGATATTTGGCCCAATCCATTAAAAAAGAGGAGGAGCGTGAACACAATCCATGAGGTGGAGAAGGCTTCTGCAAATGTAAAAACCATTTGTGCTGCCAGGGTTGCAAATAAAACAGGTTTCCTTCCATATCTGTTAGAGTCAAATAAATCATGAGTCATCATTAAAAACATAAAACAACAATCAGGATATGAATGACATTGAAGTGCCACAGTGATCAAAACTATTCCTTTATTAGCCCACTATTTCAAATGATGATGGTATTAAAGGAAAATGTAACATAGATCTTTTTTTAACAGCAAAGTAAAAACACACTATAATTATAACTCACAGGCTCAGACGGTGATATTATGTATTTGACAATAATAAAGGAATGTGTCCTGAACTTTTATTTATATCTAAAATAATCAGAATTTGACATGTGTGATATTTAGCACATGAAGATAGAGTTCACTGTACCTGTCTGACAGCTGTCCTGAGAAGAACGATCCRCAAAGAACTCCAACAAAGAAAACTGTGGAGGTAAAAGGCTGCTTCCACTTTTCACTGCACACCAAGTCAAACTGGAAAATTCGTACATTTTTCACTTTATATGGACTTAGTAAAAAACACTAAAGAACAAATGATTTGTTGTGGTAAAAACTGGAATTTGGTCAAGTGCTCACATCACACTTTGTGTTTATAATTAGACAATCAGCTGTTGAAGGGTATAACATGGTATGGATTTTACTCAACTTTGTATTTAACTAATTTAATACCTTGTAATAACAAGACTTCATTTTAATATGTTCTAGTATATTAATAGAAGAAAAAAGTACTTTTTCTAGGAATTACTCAGGTAAAGTAAATACTGTGTAAAATGCAATGTGTTGCTATTTACCTAAGTATACCTGGTAAATTCTTTACCAGAATTTTCTGTTATGTCCTACCTTTTTTTTTCTAAACCACCATGTGTTTGAGAACACAGCACAAGTGAGCATGCATGTAATGTCACATGTATGACACTCAACACCAAATATGTTCAAAGAMGCAATCGTTCCACAATCCATTCTTTGAGCAAAATTTGACAATAATGTGTGCCGATTGTGGTTTTAATGTTGTGGGAACTAAAGACTTTAAGACACACCTAAAATACCACAATCAAGCAGACAGCATAAAAGCAAATCAAGAGCATTATGAGGTGAGGGAAGGGCAAAGCTGCTCTAGTATATGAACACATTAAAAAAGGAGGCAGAACTGGAAGATGCAAGAAGCGTGAACAAAAAAAGAAAAAAAAAGAAAAACAGGTGTGTACTTGCCTCAGTCACTACTGTAGATTGATAAATGTTTCTGCTGTAGCTCCAGCCGTCCAAACACTCCTCCTGTTTAAGGTCAGTAAGGTTGACGTCCCTGCCAGGAATATATCCCTGATATGAGAGATTCCTGACCACATCCAGTCTGTATCTGCTGCACCTGCTCACTTCCTGTTTCCCATTCACCACCTTASAGTTAATACAACAAAGTTAGCGTTCGATAGATCTAAACCATTGTTGAGACTTGACAAAAATACGTATGAATAGTAAATAATGTAAAATGTATAATGTACATTAAGTACATCGTTTAAATGACTTTAAATGTGTTTTTTACTGACCAAGATTAAAAAAACTTTAGAAACCTTAAGAACTGTACAACTATAGCAAAGTTCATGCAAAAATTTTAATATAATTGCTCGGTTTTCACAAGAAAAAGAGAGCTTGTTATAATAAACTCTGGTTATAAAAGCAGCTGTTGTAATACTCACTGTTACTGGTAGAATACTTTTACGCCAATCTTCTGTCAGGTTGATGTCTGGAACAAAGCAGTGGTGGTTTGGTATGCCAGTCAAAAAAACAAGACCGAAAGCGCCAAATCCATTGGGCAGGATGCTAGCACAGAGCAGGAAGAAGACGGTTTGCTGGAAATGTCCCCACTGACCCAAAAAAGCGATGGCTTCCGCGTAATCTTTCATGGTCAAATGATCCTCCGTGTCTAATGCATCCAGTTCAGGAATTAAATTCTCAACTCAAGTTCAACCTCACTTCTTGTGAAAACTTGCCTACCAAGTTATACCTGTCACAACAAAGATTACCTTAAAATGTTTCCCACTATGAACATATAGAAGAAAGGATTCGTCACAGTTTGTCTCAGATTGGCAGGTCTTTAAAAGACGACGGTGAAGCACTGAGTGACAAACCTAATGCCTTTCAGCAGCTAAGCCACAGCAACCATTTAGCAGAATGGGAGGATTTGGATCGTTTGTTGGTTTTGCATTCATGCAGGAGTGTCCAAACCTGGTCCAATCCTTGGGAGCTACTATTATGCATGTTTTATTTGTTTCTCTTCTCTTACACTCCTAATTTAGTATTTAATCGATCTTTTTAAGTTCTGCAGAAGCCTGGAGCAGAGAAACATTAAAAAAAAAATATGCAGGAGAGCTGCTCTCGAGGACCAGCGCACCCCCTGCACTGAAACATGGGTCTCCAACCTGTGGTTCTTTAGTCATTCTGTAGTGGCTTTTTAGCATTTTGACAAAATATAATTATAATAAAAATTACTAATATTTATGTTCATAACCACAAAAGAAAAAAAAAAGATCTATTCAGTTTTATGCAAATATGGGACTAAAATTTGTGTGACAAATACAAAGAAACAAAACAGATCAGTTTGAGCTCACAGTTTGTTAGCTTGTTAGCTACTTCAGTACTTCATGAGTTATGTTAGCTTTATTTTACACTTCATTGAAGATGCATTCACTGAATGACAGTTTGTGTGAGACTTTGTTTGCCATTGCATATTCCATTTATGTTTTACTAATCAGGTTAATCTACTACTCAGGTACATCCCTTTCTTTTCTCAAACATACTCCTCTTACTTTTTAAGCCTACTTGTCTCATTTTCTTTCTTCTTTCATTGTGCAAAACTTTTTTTTCTGAAGCAGAGGAACCAATTCATCAAAACTGGAGGTACGTTACCTGATTATCTGATTAAAATAACCCACTTGCTTTTAAAGATTACAGGTTTGGATCACTTTTGTTTAAGCTCGGTTTTAGTTTTTGTTCACTCTGCAAAGGTTTGATGTGAATAAATAAACTGTAACTCATCACTACCCTTGCAGTTCGGACCATGGAAACTCTGTCAGGACTGCAGCGAGTGAGAAAGGTGGCCTTTACTGTCTTCAAAGTCCCCTTCCTGTTTCTTCTTCTCTACATTTTTGTGTGTTCCCTTGATATTTTAAGCTCTGCCTTCCAATTAGCTGGAGGTAAACACAACCAGATTATTGTTTTTAGTTTATCTAGCTTTGTTAAATTGCTTTATAGTTTTTAACTTTACGTCTATTTGTTTGTCTCCTTTCAGGCAGGGTTGCTGGGAATATCTTCCAGGAAAACACGATCCTGTCTAACCCAGTGGCTGGGCTGGTGGTTGGGATACTGGTGACAGTGTTGGTTCAGAGCTCCTCCACCTCCACCTCCATTATAGTCAGTCTTGTATCATCTGGTTGTAAGTTAAAAGCATCACGCTGCACTTTGATGGTTTATGTGTGTTAAAAAATAGTAAAACTTAGCAGAATCTAGGAAATGGTCCACCACATTCATCTCTTTTGTTGGATCATTATTACAGTGCTGGACGTGAGGTCAGCCATCCCCATTATCATGGGCTCAAATATAGGAACATCAGTCACCAATACCATCGTTGCCTTGATGCAAGCTAGTGAAAGAGAAGAGTTTGAACGGTACAGCTGTGCCTTTCCACTGTGAATGAGTTTGTATGTATGTTTTGGAACTGTTAAACAGGATCTAAAAAAAATATCTTTACTCTAGGGCATTTGCTGGAGCAACAGTTCATGACTGCTTCAACTGGTTGTCTGTACTGGTGCTTCTCCCACTGGAAGCAGCAAGCGGCCTTTTGAGGCATCTGTCCCAAGCTGCGGTCGACACGCTGCAGCTCGGGAATGGAGAAGATGCACCTGAACTTCTCAAAGTTCTCACTGAGCCACTAACTAAGTTGATAATTCAGGTATGGTGCATGTCACGCTCCTTAAAGAGCAAAAGCATAAAAACACTTTATAGTTACGGATTTAATAAAACAATCCTTCATGGTCAGAAGATAGAATTTGCTCAATCTAGTGAAGAAAATGTGTTTAGGGGAAAAAATCTTTGAAAACATCACCTATTAGATAGTTATAACATAATCTCAAAATGAAAAGTTAACTTTTTAAACTGATTTTGTGCAATCATTCTACACTGACTTACTTTGGGTACATTTTATTTAAAAATAATGTTAAAGAATAAAGAAGGAGCTAACCCTAACCGTAATAAGAAGTTGCACAGGAATGAAAATTACAAACACACCCAGACAGTAAAATAATAAAAAAGAATAACTCATTTGTAGAGAATTTCATTTTATTGGTTATCCATGGATAGTAGGAAATACCCGCTGCACTGATCCATTGAGCTAAAGCCCAAATGTTCCTATTTGTAGTTGGATCAGTCAGTCATTACAGCCATAGCAACAGGAGACCAAAGTGAACGGAACAAGAGTTTGGTGAAGAAATGGTGCCAGATTGCTGTAAGTTTCTATAAATGCTTGTGGTAAAACATTTTGATTCAATAAACAAGTATAATGTAGATTAAACTTTATTTTTGCAGGACAATGGAATATCCTGGGGAACGCACAACTTTTCCGAACAAACACAGAAATGTASGCAGCTCTGCCAATTTCATTATTTTTTCCCCATATTAGGTGCACAAGATGTATATAACTCCTTTCTCATGTTTTTGTATCTTAACAATTAAGTAGAAATATGCTGATTATTCAAATACAGTTGCTTTTTTTTCTTGTTTTCTAACTAATTTTGTTTCTCATCATATCTCTGTCTGCTCAGGCAGGCATCTGTTTGTGGACAGCTCTCTGTCAGACTTGGCCGTTGGTCTGATCCTCCTTGTTTGCTCCCTGTTGGTCTTGTGCAGCTGCCTGATCCTGCTGGTTAAATTGCTAAACTCCCTGCTGAAGGGCCAGGTGGCAACTGCTATCAATAAAATTCTTAACACAGGTAACAAACACATTTTGCGTTGTCCTTATTAAAAAAAGTGTAGGTGCTTTTTTTTTCCTCTGACTGTTTTGGTTTATTTTACAGACTTTCCCTACCCATTTGCTTGGCTGGCAGGCTATCTGGCTGTATTAGTTGGGGCTGGCATGACATTTTTGGTTCAGAGTAGTTCTGTCTTCACATCTGCCATCACTCCACTTATAGGTAACCAAGACAAAAACAACAAACCATTTTTCATGTCACTCTTACATTTTTCTTTTATTGTATATTGTATATAAAATTATTTGTTTTGTTTTAATGAAATGAATAAAGGCTCTCGATTTACCGGTCAATCTACGTTCCTACCCTCATCTATGGTCATGAGCTTTGGGTCATGACCGAAAGAACGAGGTCCCGGAWACAAGCGGCCGAAATGGGTTTCCTCCGCAGGGTGGCTGGGCTCTCCCTTAGAGATAGGGTGAGAAGCTCGGTCATCCGGGAGGGACTCAGAGTAGAGCCGCTGCTCCTCCACGTCGAGAGGAGCCAGTTGAGGTGGCTCGGGCATCTGGTAAGGATGCCTCCTGGACGCCTCCCTGATGAGGTATTCCAGGCACGTCCCACCGGGAGGAGGCCCCGAGGAAGACCCAGGACACGCTAGAGGGACCATGTCTCTCGGCTGGCCTGGGAACGCCTTGGAGCTCCCCCGGAGGAGCTGGAAGAAGTGGCTGGGGAGAGGGAGGTCTGGGCCTCCCTTCTGAAGCTGCTGCCCCCGCGACCCGACCCCGGATAGGCAGAAGAAAATGGATGGATGGATGGATGAAATGAAGAAAGGATTGAAACTTCTCCTGAATATCTTAGTGATTTATGAATTTGCTTTGCTTTTGCTCAATAAAATGTTAACGTCATCATTTCACATGGAGTAWTTGAAGCTGAAAGCAAAAAGTCAGTGAATTCAGACTGATTCCTCAACACCCATTCCAGGGTAAAAGTTAATATTTTTAGGTATTTTTCTTCTGCTTTGCTGCAAGTTTTCAGAGTAACTTCAAGTTTTCCTCGTTTTTTAAAAATATTTTAATAGATAAAATATTTTTAATTATCAACATTCATTTATTAATTTCCTGCAGGGAATAAAAAGACAACAGGTTTTTAGTTGGGTTGTTGATTTCCTGAAATGCAGAATAATGCTGTTCCTCCACAGGAATTGGTGTAATAAGTATTGAAAGAGCGTACCCGTTAACCCTGGGATCAAACCTTGGAACCACCACCACAGCTCTTCTGGCAGCCCTGGCTAGTCCTGGAGATAAATTAGCTGCTGCCACACAGGTACGCACAAAGAAATTTAGAAACACCTGCAAGACCTTCATCTTTGTTGGGACATTAAATGCAGAAGCCAAACTGTTAATTAATTCTTTYGAATTTATTATTTATTCATTATCATTATTTTTTTTGCATATCCGTTTAGGAATTTATTCAGAATGAATTAATCATACATGTTTTTCAGGGATTTTCTCCCCCTAAATTTTATGTGGTTTGTTTCGCTCCATTGTTAAGCATGCTTTACCGACTTGTGTATTTCAGGTTGCTTTATGTCACTTTTTCTTTAACCTCCTTGGTATCCTGCTTTGGTATCCCATTCCAGCCACTCGTTTACCCATACATATGGCCCGTGCCCTGGGCAAGTGCACCGCCAGGTATTGTTTTTCGTTTATTTTTATTTTATTGATGACAAAGAAAGGTTTATAAACACTGACTTTAAGGGCAGAGTCGGCTCTTGGCATAGGCAAACTAGGCGGTCGCCTAGAGCACCATCTGCTAGAGGGGGCTCCAAACTGCAGAAGTAAAAAAAAAGTAATTATTTGTAATCCTTGGTTGTAACTCTGCTCAGCGCCCCTTTCAATTAGGTTTGTCTTAAAAAATTATAATGAGGTATGACAGGAAAAATAAACTACTCTACCCATAAAACATTTTCTCCCCACCCCCCCAATGCAGCAATCGTCCCCACCCTCTCTCTCATTTGATTGATGTTGCACTGACTCATCCTGCTCTGACACTCTGACCGGGGAGTGGTTCGTGTTGATAAACTCAATAACAAGAAGTCTGTATTTTGTTGTCCCATACATGTCAACCTCTTCGGACGTTTACCTATATAAGAAGCCTCAAAAATACACACATTTTGCAAAAAATCCATACAACTCGCACCCGTGGGTTGGGGGG